ATGTGCACCCACAAGACCCCAGTGGAGACGGCTGCTGGCAACTGGGGGAGCAGGGCTGCCTCCCCATCACTGTGTACCTGTGGGGGAGCAGGGGGGATCTGTGCATGGGGCAGGTGCGAACTGTCGGCTGCAGGCTTGGGCTGCCCACCCTACTGCCCTCCCCGGGGGCTTCCACAGCTCAGCAGATGGGACCCAGAGCAGGGCTGGATGGAGAGAGCTCTATGCTACTGCCAGGAGCTCCACGCCACCCTGGCAAGGCACCCCCCTGCCCACCCGGCAGCAGTGCGGGCAGCAGCACAGGGTTGTGCCCCTTGCTGCTGCCAGGCGGGCAGGGCTCACGTCACCAGGGCAGCACGGAGCATGCAGTGGCAAGGAGCGTCCCTGCCTGGTCCCACTCTGCCCTGGTCCCACCCACTGGGCTATGGAGGTCCTGGGGCAGGGCAGCAGGGTGGGGACCTGAGCCTGGAGCTGCCAGCCCACCCGCACCATGCACGCAGATCTGGGGGGCACGTGTCCCCCCTGCCCCCATCTAAGCCCACAGTGGGCAGTCCACATCCGCCCCCACACGGGCTCTGCTCTGGCCGTGCCACCCATGGGGAAGGGGGAGGCAGGCTCTGGGCTCCACTCTGCCAGGACTCGGTTTCTGCTGCAGGTGACAAGGGACTGTGGACCTGGGTCCCTGGCCCCGTAGCCCTAGCAGCTGGGTGCCCCCTCCAGCAGGCCCGGGGGGCGAGGGGCACCAGCACGGCTGGAGGGCTGTGACTTGGGAGTGAGGGGCCTGGACCTGCCTTCTGTGAGCGAAGGGGGCAGGGGGAGCTCTGATTTTCTATGATAAAAAAACCAAAATCAAATACCAAAATGTATAGGTATTTAGAATTTATTTTGTTACAGTGATTGAGGCACTGATAGGCTTCCAAACTGTAAATAGATCAATAAAGATATTAGTGGTTTTTTTATTTTAAATCACAAATGTTGAGGTTTTTTCCATCAGAGAATTTGTGATTTTTTTTTAATCAGAGAAAACCAGGATCCCTGATAACAGGACACCAAACCAACAGGTTTGCCATATTTAGAGAAGTCCCCAACCTCCAGGGAATGGCATTTCTATGCAGGGACAGCAGGCCTCCCTGTTGAAACATCTGGCTCTAAAGAGGCAACACAATGCAAAAATAAACCCCAGCTAGCACAAGTGATACCTGCATCACTGAATGAGATCAGGGACTTTTTGTATCAAACCCTAACACATCCCTTTCTCACCGCTGGCAAAGCTTGCAGCTGGTAAATGTATCCTAGTTACATCAGCGTGTGTCCTGGTTGCGCGTATCGGGGATATTAAGCTAATACGTACCTTGCGCGTCCTGATAGCTTCTGGAAGTATTTGGAATACAAGCACAGAAGACTAATTAACAGCCTTTCCTCTTGATCCCACTCTCAGTAGCACAAAAAAGAAACATAATTGCAGGTGCAGCTTTAGGAGTAACAGACACCTGTTTGCCGGGCCCTGCAATGCCTGCATGCAGAGACACCTCGCTGACCTCGGTGGGAGTTTCATGTGTGAATGCATGACAACTTTAGGCCCTTAGGAAAGCAGAAAGTAAATTTTCTTTTAGTGGGCTTTTCATCATTCAGCCTCCAGCTCCACCATTTGCCTTCCCTTGTTTGCTGTTTAAGTACCTACATCCAAGTGATTCAAAGCCGTGCAAATGTAGTAGTCATTTTGCTTCCAAATCTTCTAACTATAAAACACATCTTGTGAAAACAAGACTACAGCCGTGTAAAGGTTTTTAAGACCCAGGTAGACAAAGCCCTGGCCGGGATGATCTAGTTGGGGCTGGGCCTGCTTTGAGCAGGGGCTTGGACTAGATGTGACCTCCTGAGGTCCCTGCCAACCCTCTTTTTCTATGATTTTACATGCACAGATGCTGTGATTTAATACCAGGGTCTTTAGCACCAATGGCACAAATACAACTTGAGCTCAAGAGGTACTGCAGTAATAAGCAGGGATCCTGGTTTTCCCTGATAAAAAATTGCAACTTCCCTGATAAAAACCCCAAAATGATTCAAATGAAAGGCCCCTCACTCCTCACCACAGCCACCCCAGCCCTGCTGGTGCCCCTCACTCCTCCCCCGCCCCGGCCCTGCTGGTGTCCTTCGCTCCCCCCTCCCCCCCACCCAATCTGTTCATAAGTTAATTAATAAATAAATAAATAAATGCAACTCCAGCAGGAGGCAAAAGCAAAGAGGTGGTATTTCTTACCAGGGATTCACGGCAGATTGACCTTCTAGTAAAGAATCCAGTCCATCCAAGTTACTTTGAAGCCTGTTGCTAATACTGTCAACCTTTTGCTCTCTGTGCTGAACTTTTGCTATTAAATTTGCCATTGCCCTCAGAATTTCCTGCTCAGTCTCCACAAATTCCTGTAACAAGACAGAGTAGGAAGATCACGTTCTTGTGAGGGGAAAGAAAAATCACAAAATATTGGGATAGCAGATACCATCTGCTATCTCACAGTGTGTCCAGCCAGGAAGCCCAGGGCCTTGAGGCAGGAAACAGACCTTGCCTTTGCACCACCCGAGCAGTTTTTGCGATGGCACAACATGAAAGCCAATAGATGTCCGTGTCCTTTATCGTGTCACAAATGCCTTTGTGGCTGCAGCAGAAAGCAGTAGTAATTTGTGCTGCTTTTTCATGGCGGATGTCTATTTTCTTTATGGCAAGAGAGTGCAGGCAGCCCGGAGCTGCCCATACTCTCCAGCTGCCCTCAGCAGACACCCCCCAAAATATCTGCAGCACATCTGAGATCAGGAAAAGCCGGAGCTCCAGGCTTGCAAAGATGAGCCTTGGGAGAGTCTCAGGGCCACGTCTCAGAGCGGGGAACACGTTGCCTGTTGTCCTGCAGGATCAATAAGCAGGACAATGGGCAATGTGCATTTCACTTATTGAAGCGAATCAGCTGTGCAAGGGGACATCCTGCCATAGAGGATCTGCTTTATTTGGCAATGTCAATTTACACCCGATTCTGGAACCAACCTTTGTGCAAATTTTCCTTTGGGTCCTTTTTCCTGGCTCATTCAACAGGATGCAAAACTTGCCCTTCTGCTCGAATGATCTGCCCTGAAATATCTAAGGGGTATTTTCATTAAGTTCTTGTTGAACGTAAAGGTTCTTCCCAGTCTAAACTGTATTAGATTGGCAATCTGGATTGGAAGGGCAAAGGTAGGATTGTACAGCAGCGTGGCACAGATTTAAAGAAGGATGGCCACTTTTAGCTAGGTTTGAACCTCGGATAAGCAAAATAAAGCATCGATCTAGGACCATTTGCAATCAGGATTTTTATGCAGAGCTAGACAACGATCATTTTCTGTATTCTCCCGGCGTGCTAGGCAATTACAATCGATTCAGATAGAACAGGTGCTCTTAGAAGAAACATAGAGCAGTATTTACAGTACAAACCATTCTTTTTTGCATGTAAACCAAAATATTTTCATTGCTAAAAAGTACCATGTACAACAGAGTTGAAACTCACCTTTTGAATGTAACTGTCCTCTGACCATGCCTTCAGAAGAAGCTCTAGTGAAAAGGGCAAGTAGGCTATGTCAAAAAGGCGCACTGAGAAAGTGATTTTTAAGCAGTTGAGCATTTTTTTTTTAAATCCCCAATGTCCAAATCAACACACATCTGTTGCCATGTCTGTAGATATCCATGAGCGTCACGGGATGGGATCCCCAGGGATGGACGTGATACCCCTAGGGCTCCTTGATTGTGCCAATCCTGCCCAATGGGCACTCTCTTTCTCGCCTGCCACGTCTTGTTGTAACCGTACTAGATAGGGAGGCTGCCCTCAAGTTTGTATTTTGGGCACAGTCCTAATGGACCCCACTGAACCCTGTGGGTTCTCGGACCCCTTTCGGGTCCCGCTCGAAAATGGATGCCTCTCAAGACACCCTCAGCCTTATGGGCTAGATGTGTGGCTGCAAACCACCCCTTTACCACACCCCAAGCCTCGCAGATGGCATTCACACAGTGTCCCTCTGAGGCCTTAGTTTAACTTGGCCTCTGGTCATCCCTGGGCTCTCCGCAGCCCTGTCTCTCTCTTGGTGCCCCCTGGCACTAAGGTCCGCTCACCCCTCTTTGTCACTGCACCCCTGGCACTGGGGTCCACTCACCCCTCTTTGTCACTGTGCCCACACTGGTGCTAGAGTCTCCATATTGCAGTGGGCCCCCAATGAGGCCTCCTCCTTCCCCAATAGCCTCAGCCCGATCCACCGGTTTACAAACAGAAATCAAAATCCAAGCCCCTGGGCTCTAACATAATGCAAGCAGCTCAGGGTGTGCTCTGTCCCTTTCAAAGAGTCACCCTTCCCCCCAGCACTACGAGCCTTGTAGGCCAGTGTATCTGTTGAGCTCCTGTAGTCCCTTAATCTTACCAGAAGCCGAATGGGCAGTCAAGCCTCTTCACTTAGCTTCCTCTAGGAGAGGTCCTTCCCCCTTGGCTCCTGACAGAGAACTGACCCTCTGGTCCCAGCCCTGGGGTTTATATATGCCCTAGGCCCTGCCTCTTCTGGTCAGCTGACCACCTGCAGGTGTGGGCTAATTCCCTCATTCCTGCAGCCACGGTAACTTGCAGCTGAGGGGTTCCTGCCCGACTGCTAGGGCTCCCTCCCTAGGCAGTTTCAGCCCTTAAAGGAGCAGGCACCTTAGTGCCCTGCGACAGTGGGCCATATAACTTTAAACAAACCAGTACACCTCCTCCCAGACCAATAGATCTGGGAGTTCAGATACTCCCTATAGCCAGACAAGCATCCTCTGGGTAGGGACCTACCAAAACTGTGATTTTGTGGAAACTGTGAAATCCGGCATTGCCCACGAAATCAGGCAGTGCCCATAAAAACCACAAAAATCCTTAGTGAAAATAAAGTGCTGGCTCCCCAGAGGGAGGAGAGGGGGGCTGCTAGCACAAAGGGGAGCCCAAGATAGCTGCTATCCCTGCCCCTCCCCACTGACTGGCTGAGAGGGCTGCCTGTCATGCAGCCCCACCCCTCTTCACTAATCAGTGTTGAGGGGTGGGGCAACACTACAACCCTCAACCAATCAGCAGCAAGGGGTGGGGCTCTATGACGGACAGCCCTCACAACCGGCATGGGGCGGCATGGGGGGACCCTGCCATGATCAGCCCATGGGAATGGCCGCCAGCTCTGGGCTCACCCCAGGAAATTGGCCGGCCGCCTCCCTGAGTTGGGTAGACCTCTACCTATAGGCAAGCCCCAAGCCTGGAGGCCTGGAAGTTCAGTCACGCCTGATCGTAGCCAAAAGGCCAAGAAGCAATTTCTTCTGACAACACCTTACCGCGAAGGATTGCCAAGTCCTGCAGAATTTTGATTGTTGTTGACTTGTGCTTTTCCGCCTCCGAGTTCATGGTGAAAATATCTGCTTTGATCTGTGCATTGCACTGTGGAGAGAAATCATAACAATTCAGATGTTACACGCTGTCTCTTCTGCCTGTTGACTAGACATTTTGGCCACCTTCAGAAACACCCTGGATATATATTCCCTGGGACAAATCACTCTACTGCTACGCTCCCTTTCCACATCAGGATCCATTTCACTTTGTTGAACACACACATTAATAGCTGCCAGCATAAATACAAGCCCCAAATCAGTGCACCAGTGCTACGGGGCGAGCAAAGGGTCTCACTCTTCCGCTCAGGGTTGTACTAACCGCCAAACCGGGATCAGGGAGGAATTTCTCCCCTCAATCAGACTGGCAAGGTCTGTGGAGGATTTTATTCCTAGGACGGCATGATGTGCATTTACTTGAACAAGGCTGCAAGCAGATACAGCAGACTTCAGAGACCCCTTTGGACAGCTGGCGCAGAGTGGCTACAAGAGGTGTGGTGTCAGCCCTGAGTGGTTTTACCAAAGTATTAATCTAATGGCCTCGGATATTTTCTGGGTAATGAGTTCCTTTGCTCCTGGTGCTTAGAAGGAAGCAGAGCTTAGCTCCTTGCTGGAACTGGGACTCTTGGAGGAACGAGGCCCATTGGCATCACGGACTCAGGCATTGAGACCTACCTGCTTTCCAGGAGAATTAGGCTCTTACATGCTTGCGTCAGTTTGGGGGGTTTGGCAAGTTTTACCGTTAGCTCTTAGACAAGGCAGCGTCTATCCAGGATAGACAACACTGGTTGCTACCTCACCTAAGTGCACAGGAGGGTCCCGGCAAGAGAAGGCAGGAGTGCCTACAGTCACTGAAAGGCAAGGCGTGCAACAGCAGAGCATTATCTTACTTCCCGGTAAGGCGGCACACATCTATTGGCGTTTTCTTTCTCCCGAGTGCCTGGGGAGAGCAGCACCACTCTCAATTAAGTTTCTCTGAGCTAGAACTGCAGCAGGTCGTGCTGTTGCTCAGAATATGCACGATGAGACTTTTCCCTCAGTCGGGTGGCTTTGGGCTTTCTGGCAGACACTGAACCAGCCTGAACGCTGCTCCTCAATATGGGTAAGCCGTGTAAGCCAATTGGGATGACTATCTGCCATGCTGCACCACCGTGCCTTGGCCTCATCGCAGCCTTTGGCCTCCCCTCAGCTAGCAGGGAAGTGGATTGGGCGTAGCAGAAAATGTTTCTACTCAACAAGACGAGACCCAGCTTTCCACATCCCGACGTGTCTCCCATTAAAGTTAAAAGGAGTGCCACAGGTGCAACCAAAAGCAAAATTGGACTCTTGGGCCATGTCCAGATGTGCAGCATGAGGTGCCACGGACCCACCCACGGCACCACACACCGCACGTGCACGTGTTCCTCGTGTTGCTACTTTGCCACAAAAACACATGCCACCCAAAACTGATGCCTAGCTGGCTGCCGGGCAGGCTCCCTGCTGCAGGAGCACTGCAGCTGCAGCTCCCCAAGGCCCCCAGGACCCCAGGTAAGGCTGCCGGGGCCAGCCTCCTCTACCCCACCCGGGGTAACCTGCTGCGAGCCAGAGCACACGTGACGTAGACGTTCCCCAGGGACAAGCAGCAGCCATACAAGACGTGCCACCGCTACTTGTCCCTGGGGAAACACGTTCGTGCTCGTCTGGACGCAGCCTTGGGGCTTAATTTCCATCTTCCTCCATTTCCATTCCTTCCTGTGAAGGAAAACCAGACTGAGCTCTCCACGTGGACAAGCCTGCGCAGGAAGCGCCGTGTTACTCACTAATTTCAACCTGCCATTTTCTGCATTCACAAGCTCAAGCTTTCTGTCGACCTCATAAATGTCTCTCTCTAGCAGCTTCAAAACCTCTGTGTGGTCTCTCAGCTGCTCCAAAGCTGCGTCACGCTTCATCCGCAGTTCATTCTTCTGTTCAGCCTGTCCACGAAGAAACCCTTTGTTATTTAGGTTCATTGTGATTCATCTTGTATTCATATGTGAATTGTTGCTATCAAATAAATAAAGGACTGTGTAGTTCATTTAAGTGGCAACTTTCATCTAAGGATTTCAAGGTGCTTTACAAAAGGAGTATCGTCTCTACCAGGCACAACGAGAACGGCACAGAGGCGGTGATGAATTGCCCAAGGTCCACAAGGCAATGGCAGAATTGGAAAGAGAGTCTCCTTCTGCCTTCCAGCCCCAGACGCTAACTACTGAACACTGGGTGCAGGCTAATGGACACTACACGTTCATTAACGCACCGTAATTACCACACATTAAGTTTAGTACTTGGATAATCAAGTACTAAAATCAATGCTCAATAACTGGTGCTACTGTGCAGTAGCACTGGCACATGGGTTTTTACAGACACCAACTGCAGAGTAGCCTAATACTACTGCGCGGCAGCGTGTTAGCACTGGTTTTGCCCGGCACACTACTGTGCAGCGTTATTACACTACTGTGCAGTTAGTGTCTTGTGCAGACACACCTCTTGTCTCATAAAGGGTTACATCAAGGAGCCTAGTGACATGCAAGACATTTTATATTGATGAAGGCCGCAGGCATGCACAAAAAATTTGAAAACTTATTCTGGTGACATCACTGCCCTTTTAAGTAGGCTTAAAGCGGGGAACAGGATACCCAGAGAGGTGGCGGTGGAGTCTCCATCCTTGGAGATTTTTAAGACCCAGCTGGACAAAGCCTTGACTGGGATGATCTAGTCAGGGCTGATCCTGCTTTGATCAGGGGGTTGGACTAGATGCGACCTCCTGACGTCCCTTCCAGCCCTCATTTTTGGATCCTAAGGGGCACCTCCCTCCCTGAACAAGGAACAGTGTCAGTGCCTGTGGGTCTGCTGCGGGCCAAAAGCTACTGAGATCGGCCCTAACAGCATCAGGCAATCTAGGAATGTATCTGGCAATTTGATTTGTGACTTTATAACCAAGGACCCCTGCATTTAGCATATCTAATGTCTCTCTCACAAGCTAGGCAAATCTTCCTCCTCATGCTATTTCCCAGTAGTATATTTTGCACCAAGAGATGAACCAAGCTGATGAGACGAAGAGATTGAATCGGGGGGAGGTATTTTCCCTGCAAATGTGAGTTGCTGAAGCTGTGACAGGACCTTGCCCAGCAGTGGTAAGCTTCTGTAGAGTGATAGGGTTCACACAGGACCTGTCGTTGCAGCCCCTTGCTCACATAAGTAATTCCTCTCATTGCATTAGTGCCACTCGTGTGGTCAAGGGTAGCAAGAGTGGGCTCCAGCTCAGAGTTTTACATGAGGTATGTGAGGATGTCTCTGTGGTGTCTGTCAGGCTGGGCAAGCATCTTCCAACCAGAAAACCCCTGCCTGCATCACGGTCGACAGAAGCTCTAGGAAGAGGGTGCTGGAAAGGTGGGAGACTATAACAACACACAAGACCAGAGAGGGAGAAGCTTAGCCTTGTCCTTGAAAATAGCCAAGGCTGGCAGCATCCCTTGCAGTCTACACGGGTGCATGCTTTCCACTGGAAGGAAAACAAACCAATTTTGGGGGCATTAAACAACGACATCCAGGAAGATGTTAACCATTACCGTGGTCTTTTGGAGTCTTCTTGTCGCCCTGAGCGAGCGCTCGATGGATTTCGTCAGGTTGGCCTCTTCGTCTTTGAGACCTGTAAATGAGGGACACGGGTTCTGCAGAAAACGTCTCTCTTTGTCCCCTGGGCTGAACGCGGCTCCAAGAGCACAACATGTTACAACAGTAAATGGTCCCTTGCATAGTTTACGATTAATGATTATTTACGTGGCAGTCATGTCCCGAGGTCAGAACCCAGCTGGTGTACAAGGACCTTCCAGCTTTGCTGTGCTTTACAATTCAGCTGAGCGATAAGCAGGCCAAGGATTGTGAGACAGTCAGCCCTCTTTCTTGCACACTAGTAGAAAGTGTCAAGATGTGCTGGAGCAACCTCCTACCCACCCAAAACTTTCTTCCTCAGTTCTTCATATTTGGCGTGCTTCTCCTCCAGCTCTCTCTGTCTCCCCTCTGCGACTGGCCTTCTCAAACTCAGCTGCTGCTCTTTCTGATTCAGGCTCTCCATGACAGTTTTGATTTCATCCTTTAATGAAAACAAAGTTTAATTAATGATCCGTCTACACATCACGGGTTATGTAGTAACTCAGCATAGTAGAGAAAGACAAAACACCAGGAACTTACGCTGTCGACTTGATCACACCAATACATTTCTGACAGTCTATGCAGTTAGAAGCAACATCTTATGGACCCGGACTTGGAAGGACTGTATTCCTTTTACCTTCACCACAGACCCCTGGGTAAGCCTGGGCAAGTCATTTAAATTCAGATTTTTAAACCGATAGCTCAGTTTCAAAATGGTCTCCAAAGGAGACTTCACTGTGTAAGCCACTTAAGTGGTAAAATACTGAGCAGGACACCAAACTCCCTTTAAACCCTGACCCTTAACTTGTGTCTCAGTCGGTGCATCTACACAAGATGCTTAAAGAGCCATAGTCTAGTTTTACTGTGCATTAGCACATCACGGCAAAAACCGTGCTAATGTGCAGTAAAATTAGTGTACTGCACATTAAGCTTCACGAAAGGGAAAGCCCGTGCACAATTGCTATGGTGCATTAGCACCAGCTACTGAGCATTTATGTAGTACCTCATATTAGAGGTACTAAACTTAATGCAGAGCAGCAACAGCGCATTAATGCACTTGTAGACATTTCCAGTTTCTCCACCAGCAAAAAGAGTTAATCTTTTCTTTCTTCTGCACGTTGTCTATTTAAACTAACATTTTCAAATGGGATTTGGACACATTTCCCACTGGGAATGGGACACCCAAGTCCTGTAGGTCGAGTTAAAATCCCAACCCCAGATTGTGGGCTCTTCAGGGTCAGGGAAGACCCTAATTGTATGTAAGTGCATCTCTTGACATAATGGGGCCCTCACTTTTGTTGGTCCCCTACTTGCAACTGTAATACAAATCAGTAAGAATGAAGTACATAGGAGGAATAAAATGAAGAGATATCAAAAGACTTTTCAATGGAACAGCATATGCTCATTTAACTTTTAATGCAATGGCAAAATTACAAGAAATAAGGAGATGGGAACAAGAGCAATTCACAATTAAGGAAAATTATGGAACATGTTCAAATGGGGAAAGGAAAGGAGGGGCTCAGACATGAAATGATGCACTTGGAAAGAGAGAAATCCTGGCTGGAATAATGCCAGGAATCTGGACTCACTTCCCAGAGACAGAATAAAGACTGGAGGCAGTTCTGATTTCTTCCCCATGATTGAGTCCAAGTTACCCTTACTCATGCTAATAGGGAGTCAGGACTAAATATATCAACTGGTTGCAAAGTGTGTTACCCTTTTATTAAACCAGATCCTATTTCAATCTAGTCCAAGGATGGGAGAAGAGAATGAAGGCACTGAAAAATGAAGCACAACAGATGAGTTGGAAACAGCGGAGTCAACAGGCGTGTGTGAAGCATGGGCAATGGAAGGCAATTGAATATCCAAAATGAGACAGCCAGTGCAATAGTTGGATAGGCAGCATGTGCACTATTCTGAGCTTCCAAAAGTAATACAAAGTTATTGAAAGACAAGTTGCAAATTAAGGTGAATGTTGTGATGCTCCTCCTACAGAAACGAATGGGTCCATATGGCCAGGGCGCAAGAATCACTAGCCAGAGGGTCCCAAGCAGGAAGCTAAGGGGACCAGGACATGGACAGTGGCCAAGCTAAGCCACAACCCAGGAGGCAGCTCTCAAAAAGGAGGGGTTTGGACTGAATCTGGAGCACTAGAGGTCAAGGCTGGAGTCTGAAACAAGACATCAGCAGGCAGGAACCATGAACAAGGATGAAGCCAAGAAGTCAACAAACAGGGCCCAAGAAACAAGCACCAGGAACAAAGAGGCGGGACCCAGGACACCACGAGCAGGCAGGACCCAGGGACTGGGTCATTACCAATCAGAGAAAAAACAGTCAGGGAAAAAACCCCGCTAAACTAAGGACAAGAAGCCAATAGCCCAAGGCTAGGTAGGAAAGCCTCTGTCTTGAAGAGTAACCTCCTGGGCACCAAAAGAGCTGCTGCTTGTAAACAGGCAGACATGCCCATGGAGGGAACTGGGACCAGCTGGGGGTAGTCTGGCCACTGGCAGCCAGGCTCACTTTGTAACCAGGGCCACCTGGGGGGAAGTTAGCAGGTCTGCTGCCCTGGCTCCTGACATTAGCCGACAGGGCTGATCCTCTGACGACATTGCCATGTTTGCTGCATGGTGTTTCAGGCCCTGACAGATGTTAAAGTAAAAGCATGATGAGATCCTATGCAGGATCCCAACAATAAAGCTGCCTACCATGCCACATGTGTAAAACAAGAGGAGCAATTGTGGGATCCCACTTCAGATCCCATTGCAGCATACTGCCAGTGCAGGGGGAGCCCAATCCCAGCCCCCCCAGCCCCAGCAAGTAGCAAGTCTGGCTCAGCTGGGAGCCTCCATCTGCTGCGGGGTGCTCCCAGCCTCTGGAGCACACGGGAATCCCATACGCTCCAGAGACCCAGCGCTGGCCACATGTTCAGTTCAAGGCATGCTAGGGACCACCCAAAAAGTTATTGTACACATTTTGTGTAGTAACTTTGTTATTCCTCATTTTATCACACACTGAACGTGTGGCCAGGTTACTACAGCTAATCACATTTTAAGTATAATGTCTGTCAGGGGCCTCAGAGTCAGCCAGACAGAATCAAGGACATCAGATGAGGAGTTCAAGTCTTTGGCATTTGCACTGTCAGAAGCTGCCAAATCTGACAGCAGGGGCACATGAGAATTGATCTGGTGTAACTTATTTATCCAGGTCCAGCAAACACAGTGATAAAGAGAGGGCTGACAGGCTGAGATGTTTCAGACACTAATGATGATCGATTTACCCTAATCTGAATCATCGGTATTGTCAACCCGAGAGCTGAGTCACACAGTAGAGAAAGATCCCCTAGGAAGAGAGCTTGCACTACATCCCAAGCACAGGAGAAGGGCCCAACCTTTATGACTGCTCACAAAGTCTGAAGGAGTATGGTTTGGTGCTGTATTAGGGCCTTTGTAGACTAGGGTATATAGAACCAATTCAGGACTGCATTTGGACCTAGATGCGTACTTGTTTATCTATTGATGGACACATTTTTGGCATGGCATTCAGCTAGATCAGAGATGCTCAGCCCGCAGCCAATGGGCCAGATCCAGCACCTGGTACTATGGCTAAGTAGAGACAGTTAAAAAGCCCAAGACTGAATCAATTCAGTCTTTGCAGGTTAGTCTCTACTGCAGAGTTCAACTGAGAAACAGCTGGACACACATTAACTTTTGATTCAGGAAATGCAGCCATATGTCTGCAGTGGCTTGGGCCAGCGCTACAGCACGGCTGTCTGGCATTTAGGCGGCATGGGCTGTGTGTTTGCTTTCTCTTCCTGCTGCCCCTGAGGTCTCTGGGATTTGCAGTCCAGAATTACAGAAGCAGGACTCTGCAGGGTTGCTCATCACTTTCTTTTCCTGCTCCCGGGTGCCTCTGGGATTTGTTGCAGCCAGCTGTAACTTTCAGTAAGTTTGGCAGGGCAAGGCAGGGCAGCTCTGTACTCAGGGGAAGGGGCATTTAATCCCCCTCCCTGGCCCCAGACCCCAGCTGGGTTTTACCTATGGGGGGCAGCCCGTGCCTCCCCCACAACCCCACCCTGCCCCAATCCTTTGCCCAGCCTAGGGCTGGAGAGCATGCTGGGGGACTCTGATTTAACTTAAACCAGAAAGGGGTCTGGGATAGAAGTTTCATAAACTGGTTTCAGCCATTTTGAAACTGGTTTATGTGCACTGAACTCCTGTTCTGTTACAGGTTTAAACCAGTTGCTGAATCATCACTTAAACCGGTTTTTGTGTAACTTCTGTCCCTAGCCAAAGTCATTTGGTTCACAGGGCTCCCACAGCGCACAGGACCAGGTGGAGGTGGCAAGGGGCGCTTGGAGCCCTCTCCAGGCGTGGGACCAGGCAGGGGCAGTGCAGGGCCCGATCCTGGAGTGCAGGGCTCCATCCAGCCTGCAGGCCCCTCGTCTGGCCCACCAGGCCAAAAGGTTGAGCACCACTGAACTAGATAAATACAGGCACAAACATATGGCTAGGAACATGTAAGGAACTTCATTGATTTCCATGGGAGTTAAGTGCCTAAGCTGAAAACTTCAACAATACTTACTTAACACAGAAATGCCCCGAGCTGAAATTCCCCAGTTCTCAGTGTCAGTGCAGCAAGCCAAGAGTGAATATGGGGTGACTCACTCTATCCTCAACCAGTTATTGGCGGATGGGTCATTCTCAGCTGATCCGAACTGGAATAACTACACTGAAATGGAGACCGCTGACAACTTGTCCCTACAGAAAAATGTGTCGCCATATGTGAAACTCCTTGAGATTTTTTTTTTTTAAATGACACTTGCCTCCAGAACTTTTATGCTTTCAATTTCTCTCTCTTTGTAGTCCTTGTATTCAGCTTCCTTTTTATCTAACACCTCGCCCAGGTTCTTGATCCGTTCTTCAGTCCGCATAAGCTCTTTTTCAGCTTTCTTGTTCTGGTGTCAGAAAGCAAAATGACAAGCGATAATTATTTCTGCAATATGCTCTGACTCCCCTGTAACCTTCAAAAAAACCTCTGGGCTAGTGAACAGGGGTCCAGGTTTCACTTAAAACACAGTGCCCACTGCTTTAAAACCGTTATTAATGGACTAACAAAGCCAGATCCTCAGGCTTTGAAATGGTGATTTATACCAGCCAGCGGAGGAGCCGTTAAAGGTGATTACTTCAGCAGAACCAGCATGAAAGACAGGGGGGGGGATTACGGGATTTGTTACCGTGTCAGCTCATTAACCTACCTTCATAATTAGTTCAGTCTGCCGTTTTTTACCAACTTTAAGCTTCTCATTGGTTTCATTGAGGAAACTCTCGTCTGTTGTCGCCAAGAACTCCATGTGCTTTGTCAGGTGAAGGCGTTTCCACTCGAGCAGCGCTCTAGTGAGAAACACATAAAAGGTATCACCCGCTACGTGACACCACTGCTGGCTGAAAAATGAGCGTAAAATAACCCAGCAGACGATGGCTTTAATTGTGAGAGGTTCCCATCCGTCACTGCAGGGGCAGAGGCATTCCCAGGACCAGGGCGTCTCTCATGGAGAATACAGAGGAAGAAACAACATGGTCTGAGATCTTCAGTCCCTGGTTTTGTAAGGAGATGAGTTACAAGCGACTAGGAGGCCTCCGGGGAGAAAGAAGCCGATAGAGGTACCCGGAGCTTCCTCTCTGCAAAGAAGACAAGTCCCTCTTGGGCTGGAAGAGCAGTAAGTCTTTAGCACGGCTGAGTTGTGGGGACACAAACCTGTCCCTGAGGTGCAAGTCCTTGGCGTGCTGAGTTTGCTCAGGAAACCTCAGAGAAAACCAGGGGAAGATTTACTGCCTCTTACCCATGAACTCCATTTATATTAACTAGCTTTTCCCCTAACTACCCTCTGCCATGGCGCATGCAGTTAAACAGACACATGCTCCTTGCACATGAAAGGACTTTGATTTAGGAAACAGCTGCCTGGTATCCTAATCCATTCACCAGCACCTCCACGCAAGATGCAGGGTGCTGCAAGCTGCTTCTTGGCAGACATCAAGAATAGGAAATTAAGCACAGCACTTGTGATAAGGGGCTTGCGGTGGTCCTCGGATACCGTGTTTTCTTCCTTTCTCAAAGGTTTGCTGAAATGGTTAAACTGAAGAGAAGGGTCTGTTTAAATGGTGAAAGGGGAAGAGTAGACCTAACTGGAGATGCAATAATAATAATAATAATAATAATTGGAGGTCATTCTTGTTCTCTGAATTGTAGGGCTGTCCTAGTGAGCACAAAAGATGGAGCCCTTCATGTCCACAGGCTGGTGTTTGGAGCATTCAAAGTTCCCACTGACTCCTGCAGTTCCCAAATGCTTCAGAAAAATGAGCCATAAAGCCTCAAAGCCTGCTCCTGCTCCAGGTTAATTTAATGGCAAAGCTCCCATTGACCACAGTGTCACAGGATCAGCCATAAAGAACAGGTTTAGGGACTATTTAGAAAAGCTGGATATGTAGCAAGTCCATGAGGCCAGATGCAATACATCCGAGGGTACCGAGGGAGTTGGCTGATGTGATGGCAAAGCTGCTGGCCATTATCTTTGAAAACTCATGGCAATCGGGGGAGGTCCTGGACCATTGGAAAAGGGCAAGTACAGTGCCCATCCTTAAGAAAGGGCAAAAGGAGGATCCAGAGAACTGCAGACCAGTCAGCCGCACCTCAGTCCCCAGAAAATTCATGGAGCAGGTCCTCAAGGAATCCATTTCTAAGCACTTGGAGGAGAAGAAGGTGATCAGGAGCAGTCAGCATGGATTCACCAAGGGAAAGTCATGCCTGACCAACCCGACCGCCTTCTGTGATGAGATGACTGCTCTGTGGATGCAGGGAAAGCAGCGGACACAATATACCTTGCCTTTAGCAAGGCTTTTGATACTGTCTCCCACAGCATTTTTGCAAGCAAGCTGAGGAAGTACAGGTTGGATGAATGGACTGTAAGGTGGATAGAAAACTGTCTGGATTGTCAGGCTCAACGGGCAGCGATCAGTGGTTCAGTAGTAATCAATGTGGGGCTGCAAAGAGGATGGACCTGGACTGTCCTCAGATGACAGAACAAGCAGCAATGGGCTCAAATTGCAGCCAGGGAAGTTGAGGTTGGATATTAGGAAAACTCTCTCACTAGGAGGGTAGTGAAGCACTAGAACAGGTTCCCTAGAGAATTGGTGGGATCTCCATCCTTGGAGATTTTTAAGGCCCAACTTGACACAGCTCTGGCTAGGATGATATAGTTGGGGATGGTCCTGCTTTTGTTGGGGGGGGGGAGGTTAGATGACCTCCCGAGGTCCCTTCCAACCCTAATTTTTCTATAATTCTATAAAATAAAAAGGAGCGAAATGAGGATACGGCAACAGAAACTTCCATAAGTGTCTCTCATCTGAAAAGTTCCAAGTGCTTCAGTAACGTTCTGGTTTGAATATCAGTTTCATTTAATACATCACTGATAAAGAGAGACCTACCTGGTGAAATTCAGCCGTAGTCATTGCCCAAAAGTATCATGATGACTTAACGCGAGCGGGAAAAAGAATACCTCATCCAAATGAACTTGCAGCAAAATTTAAGAAACCAAAATGCAACATCCCCGGCTGCAATTTCAGTGCCTTGCCCAAATTCACCACTCCTTATCTTGCAAAAAGTCTGATCTTCAAGCAGTTAGGAACTTGCTGTTATGTCTTATTTGACTGAATGACAGTCACAGAAGAGTAGAGCTGGAAGCGACCTCAGATCATCTAACCCAGTGGGGGTCAGCCTTGTTGGCAGGCATGCCACAAATGAGCCCCACACCCTCCCTAAGTGCCACTCTGATCCCTTTCCCCTGCCTGATCAGATGCTCTAATTGCTGTTCTCTGCCCTGTGCCCCCGCTGGATCTCCTGCTCTGCTTTCTGCTCCCCATCCAGTGCTCCCTCCCTGCCCAATTTGCAGCTCTCCTTTTTTTGCTCTCTGCCCTCTCTGAGCCTGCAGCCTGTCTCCTTCCAAGTCTGCTGCGTGCTGTACACAGAGGTTGCCCATACCGCTTGGGGTGCCCGTGCCACAGACTTGCCACCCCTGTTCTAGTCCAACCCCCTGATGTAAAGAAAGTTTCGGTAACTCATTCATCTTTTGGACCGTGTCTTAAAGCAAATGGCAATTTGTAAATTTTACCTCATCTCACACTCTCTCTTTAAATTGTACTCCAGATTCTCGATTTCTCTTCCAAAATTCTCTTGCATGTTCCTGGGGGGGGGGAAATGTTTCAGAAATAACAGGCCTCTTGTATGTTAACTTTGTGAACAGCGACTAACACAGACGTCTTTAGCGTGGGGCCTGTTCTCGATGCACCCTGTCCCCGCGTGCACCGGAGATGCATGCACTACAGAAGGAGACATGACAGGATAAGAATTTAGGGCGTGTGTAGACGAAACGGGGCCCCTAAATGGAAGTGGTGGGTTTTTAAAAACACTGCTTCAATTTAGGGCAAAGTAAACCCCTGTGTCGTGCACACACCCGTGCACTTACCTGCCTCTCTGGCTGTGGAGAGGGGAGGACAAGCTGCTGGCAGGCAGAGCGGTCCTTGGGCTGCGGTGGTGCTGGTGCTTCCCTCCGCAGCAGCAGCGTCCCCCCGAAGCGGCATCTGCCTGCAAACATCTGGCTCAGGCAGTCCCAAGGGGCACTGCAGCCATGGAGGGAAGTATCGGGCCCCTGCGTGGCTCGGGCAGGCTCTGGCGGGTGGGGAAAGATTATCGCTTTTTCTTTTCTTGAGCGGAGTCTGCCTTCCCAGGCTGGTGCCAGGCTGCCTGCAGGGCTTCCCGCAGAGCTGCGGAGCTGCACAGAGCCCGGTGCTTCGCTCCACGGCTGTAGGACAGCAAACTAAGACTCCTCGGAGGAGTTTTAGGTTGCCGTGCCCCAAGTCATTTAAAGCGCATTATGCCACCGAATTTGCTACAGCAGCTGGAATTAGGGTGCAATACAGCACCAACGTGTGCAAACACCAACACCATTAAAGCGGTGCAAAAGCATTTAACCCACTTTTAAGTGTGGTGAACACATGTCCCTCATTTCATCTACACATGACCTTAGAAGCCAACCTGGCATCCAAATCCATTTGCAAACTGTTTCATTTATGCTGACTTTTAACTACGTATCACTATTTATTCATGTACCATGCACCCCAAATAAGACACACACCTTGTGCTGGGAAGGCAGAACGAAGAGAAAAAGATGTTTTTTCCTTTTGACGGATTTCCTGTAACTTGCATCTACGCTCCGCCCTGGGAGTGGAGGGAGATCAGTCTGGGGTTTTTTCAGTCCCCGCTGGAGGGTGGGGTGGGTGTACTGGAGCCCCTCAAGGTGAGAGGACTCCAATTCATCCATCCCACCCTCCAGCACCAGCTGGCAAACCCCTACAATGAGCTCCTTCTGCTCCCTTCCCCCTCCCCTTCTGATAGGGAGAGGGAGGGAGGGACAGGAGGGACAGGAAACTGGCTCCAGGCTGCCGCCAGCAGCTAGATCCCTCTCCCCCCAGGGACCAACAGTGAACTTCTGTTTGGTTTGAGGGATTGTTATAACTCAGGTCGTTTCCTGCAAAGTGTTCTCAGTCACGGTGGGGAGCTGCACTCCTGCCTGCGCCGAATTTGTAGCGGACAGTATATTGGTGCCGTCTTTGAGCATGACCCCCGTGATCCATATGGGACCCTTTTGGCACTGCTCTGACTTGCACCAGCAGCAGCCGTCCCAAAAGGCTACTCCACCTGCTTAAGATCAGTGCTCTGGGCTAGGTTCCCCTCAAACACATCCCCAGTCACAGAAGATCAAAGAACTGGCCATACCAAACCTACACAGCCCAGGGATCCCCCCTAGCCCCGTTAGGGAAGATTTATAGCCCTTGCACTACCTAAAAGGGGCAGTAGCTTGGTCTGGGATTTGGGCCATGAGTTACACATTCAGTATTGTTTCCGTAATGTTTCCCTGAACTCTTGTTTGCGGGCACTTTGCCTGTAATAATAGCCCCCAGGCCGTATCTCTCTCTCGTGCGCCTGGAAGCAAACCTTGCTGTTTGCGGGCTGGTTTCTGCATTCACTTCTCCATATAAAGTATCTATCCACCTTACATTTCAGACTCTCAAATTCAAACGTCTAAGCAGCAGTGAGGTCATTTCCCACAGCCAGGGCTGAGAAGTGACGTACTCAAAGGTATCTTCAAGTCTCTCGATTTCCTCCTCCAAACTTTTCTCGTCCATCAGGCGCTTGGCCACAGCCTCAAACTTCGCATCCAGCAAAGCTGCTAAGTTTTCAAGTCTACCAAGAGATAGAAATGAATGAGACCTTCACAGTAATGTTATTTTTCAGTAAGAAACCGCCACCTCCTGAAAAGCCAAGAGATGGTTTTCTGTACCAAAGAGCTGGCAGTTTAAACCTACTCTTTTGCTGCCCCATCCAGCTTTGCACGCAAATGTTCTTCTTCCTTCATTAATAACTGATAGTGGTTCTTTTTAGATGCATTATCATCTTTAAGTTTTTTATTCACGCATTCAGTCTTGTGTAATTTTTCCTCGGCCTAGGAATAAACACCAACAATATTAACTGAATAATCATTCCAACTCTGTCTCCTCTACAGAATAGCATTTTGAACTGCCATCAGATCTTTCAGCAGCGGATCTGAAAGCACTTTACAGTTCATTAAAGTGGATGAGGCTTATATTACCATTGCTTCACCCATCCATGGCTGCAGAGTTCCCTTCAAA